TAAAAGAGCGTTTAAACTGACGGTATGTTTAAGCTACATTATACCATCAAAACATTGATTTTAATTTCTAACAATACTAATAAAGGACTGGCTTATCTAAAGCCAGTTGAGTAGCACTTGAAATGTTTGGCTCTATGAAACCTCATGTACTTATATGATTTTGTTTTCTTCAAGTTTGTATCTTCCTGGTCGAATGCACTTATTGTAAGTCTCTAAATGTAATGTAAACATTTTAAGTCTAACACCCAGCAGTGGAAATGGCTTGCTGTAACTACACCTCACTGTGAAATGATGGCATGCTGTAGTACACATATACCTCACTGCAGCAAAACAAAAAGTGGAACCACGAGAGGTTAGCAAAAACACGATTTTCTGTCCTTTTTTTGTCTGAAACCAGAGCCCAGTCTGTTCTGATTGGATAGGAGGCCGTCTCTGTTGTGATTGGTCAACATAGAGTAAACCCCCGCAAAAAGAACAATAGGGCCCCTTTAATTATATCATCAGCTGTTTAACACATACAGTATATCCTCCCTCTAGTGAGAAAAAAAGCACAACATATTTTCTCCCTAGGTCTTTTCCCAAGTGGAGCAGCAAAGAAGCATCTTATTTGAGATTAGAATCATTTTAAAAATACCAAATTACATCAAAGTACAGAATACACACATAGTGGCCACGTTATAAGCCATCGCTTGAAAAACACACCATCTTTCTAGATGTAACGCTAACACTCGTGTTAGCATTGACTCTCTGGACCCCCTGCAGTTTGCCTATAGCGCAAACAGGTCCACAGACGACGCCATAGCCCACACCATCCACACTGCCCTCTCACACCTGGACCAGAGGAACACATATGTGAGAATGCTGTTCATTGATTACAGTTCAGCATTCAATACCATTGTGCCCTCCAAGCTGGCCATCAAGCTCAGAGACCTCGGGCTCAACAGCGCCCTCTGGATCCTGAACTTCCTGACGGGCAGACACCAGGCAGTGCGGGTGGGGAACATCACATCCTCCACCCTGATCCTCAACACCGGAGCCCCTCAAGGCTGCGTGCTCAGCCCTCTCCTCTACTCCCTGTTCACTCACGACTGCGTGGCCATACACAGCTCCAACACCGTCGTGAAGTTTGCTGACGACACGACCGTCATCGGCCAGATCACAGACGGCGACGATACGGCGTACAGAGAGGAGGTCGAAAACCTGACATCTTGGTGCCAGGATAACAACCTCCATCTCAACCTCAGCAAAACCAAGGAGCTGATTGTGGATTACAGGAAGCAGCAGAGAGAGGGACACGCCCCCATCGCCATCAATGGGACTACGGTGGAGAGAGTCNTTAGGGAGAGGATACCACGTGGACGAGTCCTTCCAGTCCTATTAGAGAAATACCACGGTGAACATCTTTCGACGTCTCAATAGGACCTTAGGTAAAAAACTTGGAGGAGTCGGACGCTCTTCTTCTCCGGCGAAGCAGAGCTCGAAAGAGCCACTATCAAAGCCCACCGCACTGGTCTCAGGTACAGTTCCAGGAGTCACTACAACAGCAGTCGTTTTGAAGTGCTACCAGCAACCTCCTGCATGAACACCGGTGCGTCAGAGGGAGGCTGAGGAGGTTCAACATGGACTCCAGGATACTCTGTAACTTCTACAGGTGCACCATAGAGAGTATCCTGACTGGCTGCATCACGGCCTGGTACGACAGCTACACCGCCCTTAATCGTAAGGCTTTACAGAGGGTGGTGAAAACTGCAGAGAACATCACCAGGACGGAGCTGCCATCCATGGAGGACCTATACTCCCAGCGGCTCAGGAAGAAATCCCTCAGGTTTACAAAAGACCCCCATCACCCCAGCCACAAACTGTTCAGTCTGCTGCCGTCTGGCAGGCGTTACCGCAGCATCCGGACAAAAACAACAGATTCAGTCGCAGCTTCATCCCGCAGGCAATAAGACTGTTGAACAACTGAACTGCTGAAACAATTTCATAACATTCATCTGCTACTTAGTAATTATTTATCTACTATCTAATATATCATTCCAATAACTTGTATATATAGACTCGTATTAAACTATTCCACTTTTTTTACTCACTTTTTAAAAAAAACATTTTTCTTTGTGTATTACTTTTAATATAGCATATTTTAATATTGCTTAATATTGTCTGCTTATCTGTATTATATTGTTGGAGAAGCCTGTGACCTAAGATTTTCAACAACATAATTACTCTTTTGACAATAAAGAACCTTGAACCTTGAAAGTCGCTGCCACTTCAGGGGAATGGCGGCTATCACATTTTGGGAACAAATCTGCTCAGTTGAAAATAAAGGGCACGTATTTTTAGCCTGCTGTCGCTGTCTCTGCAGGTTTTGATCAGTTGTTGAGGCTTTGCTGTGTCTCACTGCAGCCTGAGCACAGACTACCGGCTACAATGAGAAGTCTCCTGAGATATAAATAAATGTTATGTAGTGATGTAGGTGTTGCATCCCACACAGCCTCGCTCTGTTTTCTATCTTAGCCTCCATGCTTTTTTGCCATCAATTCATATCACATCACTAACATGTCTCTGTCTCTCACACAGCACCTGTCTGTGAGGGTTTACCTGCTGCTATCAGCATTTTTTTTATATTATAAAATCCAGATATTCATTCACCTCGAAATGCACAGCCATAGAGTAAAACAGCCACATCATCACAAAAAGTTTTCCGCGTCAACTCTCCGAAACTAAATGAGTGCTCTGATTTGACCTCATTTATACGGAAGAGGGATCTATAATTATCTGAAGGAGGGTTGTGGAGGAGGGAGCAAGCAGGGACAGATATCTCAAAGGGAAGAATGACGAGCAGGAAACTACAAAGAGGAGACCTCATTTCATTTCAAGTGTCCAGACTACAGGTGAGTGAGGGGGAAATTGATGACATGTCTAGACACATAGAGAGGTAGGTGTGATATGGTATCCTGCCAAGAAAGGCACAGAGGTTGGTCACACATGTAAGGATAAAGCCAGTGAGATAAAAATATATGTATCTGATTTCAAATCCTTTACTGAGCCTCACTGGGTCTGTGTCCAGGAACATGTCAAAAGTAAGTAGATTAAAAACGGTGCTGTTAAAAAAAGTCTGAGCCACTGAATAAACACACTAATGTGGTTTTAAATGTGATGAATAAAGAAATCAATAATTAAACAGATACAGTTGAGTAAGCATCCTAACATTTGCTATTTAAAATAAAACACAGTTATTATAATTAAACCTGAGGAGGACATGAATGTGTGTCCTACATTGCATTGCAATCTGAAAAGTGGAACCAGTACAAAAGAGCCTGCATTCTTTCAAATGGCCAGCAGGGGGAAGATACACTGGTGACAAAAAGGAGCTAGATTGAATAGAAGTCTATAAGAAAATCACCCATCTTCTCACTTCATTTATTAACTCTGTAAACATGTTCCTGACAGGTTTATGGATTAAATCGCCGATTATGGGTCTTCTTTAAAACAGCCTGATGTCCATGTTGTCGATTAAGGGCACAATGTATCAAAATCAGAATCGGTTTGATTACCAATAGGTTTACACACACGAGGAATTTGCTTTGGTGTCATTTACTTTGAGTATACTTTGCTACCTTGTGATTGACAAGTCGCTACAACAACATTCGTCAGCATTTTGTTGTAGCAAAAAAGTCTCCAAGCATGTTTTTGCTAGTAAATATTAGCGTCAAAATTAATATATTTATGTGAATTAGAGTTAATTAATCTTTAGTTTTTTTAATTCTTGTTTAAGTCTTTTATTTTATAATTTTTTTTAAGTGAAGAGACGGATAACTGGAATGCAAATACCTTCAATAAAGTATTTAAAATAATGTACCTAGCCCCGCACGGCATTGCTCTTCCCCAGCTCAACCCTCTCGTCTAAATATGGTCACTTCTGGATAAAATAAAACCAAGATGGCGCCGGCCATAATGCCAAACTTGAGGGTTCAAAACGGTAGTCTAGAAAACCAATGGGTGACGTCACAGTGACTACGTCCACTTCTTTTTAAGGATCAATCAGATTCACTAGAAATCATCCCCTAGAACAGAGCTATGCAATTGGCGGCCCGCGGGCCAAATCCGGCCCCCGGGTGATATTTACTGGCCCTTTGAGTATAATGTTAAAAAGTAAAAAAAATAAAATAAAGTTTAATAAAAAAAAAAATTCATTTAAAAAATAATGTTTTGGGCCAGAGTGTCTTTATTCCTGAGAGGGTGTTACATTGAGAGATAGAGGGGAAGACATTGCCTGAAAACTTTGGAGGGCTCGGGTTTCGAACCCACCTACTAGCAACTCCTGTCATTTATTGCGTCTCTGCGCGTGTCCTCGCGGCTCGCGCTGCCCTTCACTACAAGCTCGCGCACCTTCGACGGTTTCGCGCCAATGGTACGATTAATCAAACCTGGTCAGCATAGTTGGATATCAAAATGTCTCTTTCTACGTTAAAAAAACGAAAGGTTGACACCGAAAACCGGCAATTCAACAGCGAGTGGAAAGAGAAGTACTTGTGTGTAAATGTCAGTGGGAGGCCCGTGTGTTTAATCTGCAATGAGTGTTTATCGGTGTGTAAAGAGTACAACTTGAGAAGGCATTTTAAGACAGCTCACGCCAACTTTGACGCCAATTTTCCAGCGGGCTCTGATGCTCGCCGCCAGAAGATTTTGGGGCTAACTTCGTGCTATGACCAAAGACGTAGCTCCCTGTTTCGGGCTTGCACTGACCAAGAGAGAGCTACCGCAGCGCGCTACGAGTGGCCTGGATATTAGGCAAAAAGAAAAGGCCTTTTACGGACGCAGAGACAGTCAAAGAGTGTATGCTTGCATCAATTGAGGAAGTGGTTGCAGGTGAGAAAATCAGAAAAAGCGTTATTGACTCAATTAAGAACATTCCGATTTCTGACACGTCAACATCAAGGAGAGTGGAGACCCTTGCATCGGACGTTTTTGAGATTCTCTTGGACAAACTGAGAAAGGTGGAGGTTATGTCGCTAGCTATTGATGAATCCACTGACAGCAGCGATGTTGCACAGCTGTGCCTCTATGTTAGATTTTTTGATGGTGAGTGCTTTCGGGAGGATCTACTTGGATTAATTCCTTTGGATGGACACACGACCGGTGAGGTGATGTTCCACAAAGTGGTTTCGTTTTTCAAGGAGCACAAGTTGGGATTGGATCGTATTAACATGCTTGTAACGGATGGGGCCCCTGCGATGTCGGGCCGAACACAGGGACTGTCCGCTAGGCTGGCAGATGTGGCTCCACAGCTGAGATCGCTTCATTGCCTCATCCACCAAAGCCTCCTGTGCGCAAAACTGAGTGGTGAGTTAAAAAACACAATGGACTCTGTCATGGCGATTATTAACTTTATTCGTTGTAACTCCAGTTTACAGCACCGCCTTTTCCGCCAGATGTTGTCAGACATGTCAGCTCGATATAATGATTTGCTCATGCACAGTGACATTAGATGGCTAAGCAAAGGAAACGTCTTGAAACGATTTTGTGAACTTAAGGAGGAGATCATGGCGTTTCTCCGCAATTCAAAACATAAAAAAGCCAACGCCTTTCTGTGTCTGATAGAGAATGATGAGTTTTACGCTGCTGTTTGCTTTTTGAGCGACATTTTCCAACATCTGAACCAACTCAATTTGGAGCTGCAGGGCAGAGATAAAATGGTTACACAACTTGTGGAGAGACTCCATGCATTTCAAAAAAAGCTCACACTTTTTTTTGCGGATTTATGTCCAGGCAAAATGCTCCATTTTCCAACACTGCGCACTGCAGGTTTACAAATCACAGAGGTGATGACTGGATTTATGGACGCATTGAAAACCAACTTTGCCGCGAGGTTTGAACATTTCAGTCTCCCGACTGAAGTGATGAGATTTGTGAAGGACCCTTTCTCTGTGAATGTAGAGGGGAAGTTTGCACTGAAAGCAAAGGAGCTGATTGTGACATTAAATGAGGCGTCTTTACAACTCGAACTCATTGACATTCAGTCATCAGATGACCTGCGACAGTCATTTCAGCTGGCAGGTTCTGAAAAGTTCTGGACTCATGAAGTCAGCCACGAGAAATTCCCTCATTCAAGGGGTCTTGCACTTTTTGTCCTCACAATGTTTGGCTCGACTTACACGTGCGAATCGGCATTCTCACACATGAATGCCATAAAAACTAATAATCGAGCATCCCTCACTGACCAGCATCTGCATCACTGTATGCGTATTGCCATGACAACGTATACTCCCGACTTCCCTGCTCTTGCTAAATCGAAAAAATGCCATTTCTCTCATTAGATGGCATATATCTGCCAAGTTGGTTGCATACTGTATGTCAGTTATCACTATGTTAATCAAAAAAGGTTTGAGTTTTAAAAGGCTGTGTGTTGTGGTTTGGTAATTAATACAAGTCTTTTGATAATTGTTTTTGCTTTTAATTAAGCAATTCATGTGGTATGGCTCACTTGTCTTTATTGTTACCATAATATGCACTGTTGTTTGTGTATGGCCCTAAATTGCTATTTTGTGTGAATTATTCGATCATTTAATCTAAATCTAATGATGTTGATGGTTATATTAGCTTCACATGTACTGAGTTCTGAACTTGCCATTTATAAAGGCCTTGGGGCTATGTTTGATTTAATTAAACAAAATATATGCACTCCACTATGCTGTTGTAGTCATTTCATTTCACTTCAAACCTTTATTTATGCAGGTGAATCCCATTGAGATCATTGATCTCTTTTTCAAGGGTGACCTGCTGTAGTATTTACTGTATCGGAAGCTCTTAATATGATTGCTCATATATCAAGCCATTTTTTTCCCAGCCCCTTGCTTTGGATCATTTTCATCAACCGGCCCCCATTCCAAACTAATTGAATAGCCCTGCCCTAGAATCTTGACTACATGTTTTACAGTATACTGTCTATGTGAACATGATTGTATGTTATACATGAAGACGTAGTAGTAAAGATATACCATCCGGCATAAGCATCCTTAGAGCCGTGTGGATAAAAAGCAATCTGTTTTTTATTCTTCCTTCGTCACAAACAAGCAGCTCACATAAAGCACAGATAATAAATCCACCAACAACGATAAAAAACCAACTGATTCCAGTCTAAATTATGAATGTACTGGCTTTAGTACGGCTTGTGCTCATATTAAAAGCAGTTTGGGAGGCTCTTGTGGGCCATGATTGTGTTTTTAAGTGTAGCATCTCAGCAGTAGTTGCAGAACGAGCTCCACTGACTCCTGCAGTTAAGATTAAACACCATCATTATCAGCACCATTGGAACGGAAAGCGCTGTGGGGTCAAGACAAAGGAGCTGAGAGAAGCAGATATGGGGATCATTTAGACGCACCATGATCACCCTCTAATCACTCGTTTCTTTTATAATGCATGAATTTCAATGAAGTAATGAAGATGTAAGTTGATGTTTGCATGATTAAATAAGTGCACCATAATGACCATAGTGTCAGCGATGTCAAATCACATCACATGAAACGTATTCACAGACAAAGGTAACTCAAAGGGCTTCACAAACCAGCAGCACTGAATAAAACATTCTAATCAAATGGAATCTAATGTGAATAAATACAATTCAGTTCAAATCCAAATAAAACGGACACACACACACACACACACACACACACACACACACACACACACACACACACACACACACACACACACACACACACACACACACACACACACACACACACACGGCGAGAGATTAAATCCTAAAAGCAGAGCATCACTCAAGCTAATGACTTTGCTCACGAAAGAGAGAGATACACTCACATGCCATTGTATCACTCACTGTGTTACAACCTGCAGTGTCCATTTTAATGTTGGTCACAATCATATCAAGCAGCCTGAACAAACTCCTGATTTAAGGCTCAAAATTGCCTTGAAGAAAGCTAGGAAAACAACGAGGGAATAGAGGATTTCGGAGGCAAAAACATCAGCAGCAGCCGCCATCAGATTTCACTTCACGTACATAATTACACTGATGGCAAAACCAGTGCAGGCGCAGACCCAAAGAAGCCAATAAAAAAATGCACAAATTCTCACATATTCTCAATAACACATTTCCTAACACCTAAGAGTCCAATTGAAAGAGTAAATACTCACCCCAGGCAATTCATCTTGTTAGCTGTCACCCATTGCTCAAAGAAAGAAACTAAGTTACACCGTCAAATAGTGAGCAGCTTCACTATAAGACTGCTTCAGTGCTGGCTCTCTGAGGGGGATCAAATGTATGTTGGGACTTTACCAAGTGTCAGGGGAACAACGACCGCCAGCAGAGAGTGAGCAGAATAATGAGAATAAAATCCATCCGGAGAAAACACAGAGAGAGGGAGGGGAAGGTAGAAGAGTTCGGGGATGGGTGGGGGAATCGTAAAAAAAACAAAGAGATAATAATAATAATAATAATAATAATGTTGTTATTGGTGCTCGAGCAAATAGGAGTGTCCTTAAATATAAAAAAAGTTGTCAGTGTTTGAATTATTCATGACCAATTTAGCACACAGAAATCCTGTCGCCTCATTTGTCATTTCAGGTAACCACAGCACTCACTGACCTCATACTGCTGGAAAGGCTTTATACTGTATATTAGTGCCACTAAAAATAGAACAAAGTGGTGTAGTAGTGGATGAGAGCCAGCGTAGTAAGACAATAAAAGGTTTTGATTGGCTCTACTTGTGGAGGAATCTGTGGACTAACTGTCTGGGGATTGAGAGAACGTCTGGTGATTTTGGCGCAAACAAATCCTCTGGCTACCCGAATGCTTTTTCACGTTTCCACTTCATAGAAACTCACAAAATCTGTTGTGTGTATCTCCAGGGACAGTGGATACAGAGCCACCGGTATTACATTATGTTTCCATGAAGCGAGTACTCGACTAAATCTGTCTGTGGCTCGTCATCACACACACCTCCATGCTGTGAGTTTCGCCTCACGTTGCCAATACTCATTTACGGCACAAAAACTCATAGCTCGGGCAGTTAAGTCCGAGTGTCACTAACACGGATGAAGCGACTTGGAGGGGGTCACTGTGGATTTACTGTGGAGTGGCAGATGGGGCCCACCTAAACCTAAAGCGCAGCTCTGAAACGGCTGGCAGCGGTCGAGACCCCCGCGCTAATCCATCCTGCAGGACGAGCACCGGGAAAAGCCTGTTTACCCGTCATTATGACGAAAAAAACCTGCAGATTATTTTACTTTTCACTACTTGAAATATATGACACATTTGGGATGTGTGTGTGGGATACAGTAGATGGGGAGTAAGGGCTGCACAATTAATTGATTTGTATCGAAATGTCAATGTGGACTGGTTTAATAATCCCAGGAAACACAAAATGTGTTAAATGTTGAATACAATATGTTTTAAATACCATCTTGAATGAAGTATTGTGGAGCTGCTGAGACATCCCAGCTTACAACTAGTACATATTCATTTTCAAAGGGCCTTTCATCTAATTTATAATGAAAATGAGAGAAATTAAAAATGATTAATCCCTCCAATACTGCGAGTCATATCTCAAATGCCTTAAAGTCAAAATAATACAAATTAGCACAAAATGATTTGTACCATGGGACCGAGACAGTGGGGGATAACATGGAAGAAGCCATTTTTAAATAACAGATGTCTTAGTCACAAACAGTGGCGTTTTTATATGTACAAAACAACTTAGATGTGTATATACTGTATAATACACATATATATATATATATATATATTTAAACACGTAAACAAATAGCTTAAGGCTATCGAGGGTTCCGATAGAGAGAGCGGGGGGGGGTGAGGACACTCATCACCGAGGTCACAATATCAATGGATCCAGCAGAGCAATAGCCTATAGGCATAACACAGAAGATCTCTCTCTCGTCACCTCCTCACAAACAACTACTATTTTCGCGGCACACGTACTTTACAGCCAATCAGCTCTCTGAATTATGAGATGATGTTTGGTAGGTATGTCGGCACTTTGCCCCTATGGTGATTATTTTGTTGCCGCNAGTCTGTTTCTATTCAATGTGTGCGGCAACAAAATAATCACCATAGGGGCAAAGTGCCGACATACCTACCAAACATCATCTCATAATTCAGAGAGCTGATTGGCTGTAAAGTACGTGTGCCGCGAAAATAGTAGTTGTTTGTGAGGAGGTGACGAGAGAGAGCAGCGTATAGCGATTACAATCAGTAAAACGGAAAGAAATTGAATGAAGTTGACCATCTGCTTCAGCTTTGGTAAGTTATGTTATGTCATATCTTTAGTTGATCTTCTGTGTTATGCCTATAGGCTATTGCTCTGCTGGATCCATTGATATTGTGACCTCGGTGATGAGNAAAAAAGCAATAAAAATACATCTTAAAATATATTTTAAGATCATGTTTGATCATCTGATTCGTCTGTAATTAGAAGAACACAGACTAAAACAGCAATGTACAGACGAATCAGATGATCAAACATGATCTTAAAATATATTTTAAGATGTATTTTTATTGCTTTTTTTTTGAATTATTATTTGAATTACTTTCTGCTGACACTAGGTGGGGCTGTGCCACTCGCCACTGGTCACAAATGATGCATCTCTTTTTATGTTTACCAGTAGGCCACTTGGTACATTTCCCCTCGTCTCAAAGCCTAGACTCAAGACGCTTGGCTAGAATCCAGATAGCAGAAGTCAACTCTCTACTTTCTACCAGCAGTTTATTCTGTACTGTGTTTGGTGACCCATTGTAATGGAAGTTCAAACGCTTTGTCCTTACCGGATGTTGGAGATGAGCTGTCGGTGCTCTTCAGTGTTCAGGATGTCTGGCAGCACCGAGGCCAACCACTCCACTCTCTTCTCCGCTGCGTACTGCTTCAGAGCCGTGAAGAGCTTCTCTTTCACTTCGGGTTCATCACCTAGAATCTGTTCCACCTGATGCAGAACGGAAAGAGATGTTAGAGGGGAGAGGCTGGCAGCTCATAGTTTAACTCAAAGCCTGATTGGTACTATGACAAACTTCATCTGCAATTAAAAAGACAAATTGCTTTAAGAAGGGCTCTTTAGTTTGAGTTAAATATTTTGTACTTCCTTCTAAGAGTTTCATCTTCCTTTGATCGTTTTTATTTCCTCACAGTGTACATTTTGTAAAAGGATTACATCAGTGAATTGAATGAAATTACACACATACATTTTTTGAATTTAATAGTATTTAGCATATTTAAGGAAAACATCTGAAGTGTTGCTGTAACTTTTGCAAAAACATGGTGGAAATGAAACACTTGGTTTCAAAACTGAATTTTTCAGGTCTCATGACTAAATATGCAATTCATCTGGTAAACAAAAGGTTTATAGCAATGCTATTTTATAATTCTGGTTTTGAGATATGTTGATTAATCCATCAGTAGAGAAAATTGAATAAGTGTTAGAAGACTACGTACTCTTCAATCTAGGTAAGCCCTAATGGATCATTTCCAATAGTTGTATCATTCAAACAATTGATCACATTAAGAACAAAGTCAAACCCAACTTGAACAGAAAAATAAGTTAACCTGCACTGTTCAAGGCTTTTATTGTCATAGGTACATGGCTACAATGAAATTCTTAGGTCAGAGGCTCCTCCAACAGTGCAACACAATACAACAGATAATAGTGCAAGTAAATGAAATCAAATAGAAATAGTGCAGAATAGTCTATATACAAGTAATTGGAATATTAATGAAGTTGCAGTTGCCGTTTGAACGTACCCTCCTGTTGAACTCCAGAGCTTTGTGTTTGCGGTCCAGCCTCGCTCCCTCTCCTCCCACCTGACTGTCCTCTATGCTGATGCTGTGTTTCTGCCACGGGCCGAGACACAGAACCCCCAGGCGGAGCGTCCGGCCCTGCGAGGCTTTGATCAGCGCCGCGGCCGTCTCGTGCTGCCGGACGGGGATCCCGTTCACCTCCATGACGTAATCCCCCGCCTTCAGACCTGCACGGCCCGCCGGAGAGCAGGGCGAGCAGTCCTCCACCAGCAGGGGGCAGTCTCCTACGATGGTGAACCCAAAACGACCGTCCGGACCCGGTATGATGTCCATCTGTGACGCAAGAAAAAAAATTAAAAAGTGTAAATGTAATGAAATTAAAGGAATTAAACTCCCCAAAAGACCCTTATTGAATAATTATTTGCCCTGTTATCTTGGACAAAATGTTAGCTTGTCCCACATGCCACTATGATAAATAATGAATCCAAAAAAGAACAAGAGTCTCGATGTATTGAAGTAAATGGGGGGCCTTATTTAAAAAGCAGCAAAATCATATCACATCATGCATTTATAAACTCACAAGAAACGTGCATCTGAGATTGTTAGTGCAGAAGTGTATTAAATGTTAAGATTTTAGAAAGTATGCACTTCGTTTGGAAATACAGAGCATTCGATAAGACAAATAATAATTGGATTAACCTGCACGATTTCGATGACAGTGTGAAAAGGGATGTTTTATATATATAGTATCGCTGTTGTCAAATATGGCCACAATGTACTTAAATTCGTCAAACCTTTTCCAAATGTTTGGTTCACCATAGAGGCATGCGGGGCTCAAGGATTCAAGGTCACACAGAGCGAGTGACGGACGTACAATTAATCATATTGCGGGTGAAGAACACCTTTAGGAACATACCCCTAAAGACTTTTGATCAATCTAGATGTCACATATTGCGGTATCTCCACAGGCATTAACCTACTTATGCATTATTGCTGTGATTCAGGAGCTGTCAGACCTGCTGTATGCGGGACACCACTCCGATGCTGGGAGGGATGTTCTTCTGAGTCTGGGCGATGGCCACGACAGCTTGGGGGCCCAGCGTTGACACATTGTGGCCCTCGATCTCCAGGACCTGGTCCCCCGCCTGCAGCCCGGCCAGGTGAGCGCTGCTGCCCTCCTCCACCGACAGGATGTAGCTGGGGCCATTGCCGCCCAGCAGGAAGCCGAACTCCTCAGGCCAGCCTTGGTTGGACGACGGCATGCTGAGGACTTAAAGGGGGGGAGAGAATATGAAAGATAGGAGAAGGAAAATAGTCCCCACCCATGATCCAAGGACTTTCCAAGGGTCTTGCACTGGCTATACTGCGGACAAAAGCTACGAAATGAAGAAAGCCCACACATAGACATTCAAACACAAGCACTTACCCACTTTGGCCAAAATATTCAAGTCAAATGACATTTTTTGATCGAATAATCCTTTGCTTGCATTCCAAGTGACTACGTTTTTGTCCCCGGTCTCTTCTCCCTCCTGCTGTCTTTCGCATCTCAAGATGTACTCGTGAGTGCGGCTCTGTAACCCTCTACCCTGAACCATGACACACTCAGCGGTCCCTGACCTGGTTCACAAACTCCAAAGCAGCCAATCAAATTAAGTCATTGCAGGGATTGTGACCTTAATTAGCTTTAGAGACAAAAGTTCCTGCAGCAATTCCATTTTTTTTTAACTCCCTGCAAGTCAATCCTGTTGAATGACAATTATATAATAGAGCACACAACTGACAGCATGGATTTCAGAGCAGGCAAAAGGTAAAAAGTGGAATCAAATTGGCTTATATTTTAGGCATTCTGAAATGTCAAAATGAGACATGGACAGTTCTCAAAAACATATCTAATATGACAAATACAGAATTACAGATATACACATGTTGGATTTTGTTAAATATGATTCAATATAAACCCCTCTGGCTCAGCTGGAAGCTAATTTTGCTCCACAGCCATCACACAAAGCTGATAAAAGACTTACAGAAATCTTTAGATGGATACCGAGAGCCCCGTCGGATAGAGTATCTGCCTTTTTTGTTTTGCAAAAACTTCTTCATCTTGAATGTCAAACAGCGGGCGGCCTGCTGGCAGCCAATCTGTCTCCTCAAATGTTATATCTTTAGAAAAAACCCAAGGACAAGTCAAACGGAAAGGGTGACAAACTCAAAACAATACCCCATTCTTCCACCCTGAAAACCACAGCAGTGTCCTCATAAGCAAAAGGTGAGTGTGCACGGGCAGCGAGTGCAATCTCTGTGTGTCAACGAGTTAGTCCTGTTCCCTGATTCATCCTCGGGCCGGCCCGCCTGCACAGTGTTAATCAGAAAACTGGGACGCGTGCACCCAGGCACCTCGGTTCCTTAATAATTCTCTCTCCCAAACAGGGTATTGTGCGAGGCCTCATTTTTCTATAAATACACCAACATGTCTTTTTCCTCCTCCTGCTCTCTCGGCTAGGTGGCTCTCCGAGGGACCGCTCGTGGCCCAGAATCACTCTGAGTCGACGCAGCCCAGCCTGATGAGGACTAATTGGAGCGTCTGCATGCCTGGGAATGCGTCCGTCCGTGTGTGAGCACAACGAAATGTGCCGTCCATTGAGAAGGAGGGGGGGGGGGCAATTTAAGACTTCAGCCTGTGGGATTAGTTGGATTATGAACTGAATCTTCAGTGCTCCTCCACCCCCCTGTCATTAATACTGAAGGAACACAGGCTCCCCTCAAATAAAGAATGCAGACACTGACTAGTGGAAGCAGACATTGTGAATATGACATTATGACAAGTGACGGAAAGTTCACACAGTGTGAAGATAAAGTCTTTCAATCAGAACTATCTTTTTAAAGGGGTCCTAATATGCTTGTTGGGGTTTTGCCTTTCCTGTAGTGTGTTATATAGGTTGTTGTGCATGTTAATGGTCTGCAAGGGCTAAAATCCAATACCAATAACAGTACCCAATAATAAAGAGAACGGGTAAAGGCTGTAGACAATTCAAAAAATCGTGTGGCTGTAAAATCAACATGTAATAGAAGAAATAATCATATAGTGAAAATACACAAAAGCTTGTCAATTACAATAAGAGGATGTCAATGTAATGTGTTAGCTTCACCCTCCAATATGAGAAACTACTGTATATAGTGCAGGATATTTGAAAAAACATATTATTATGTATTTGATTGTATTTATGATTGATTGGACATCTCAGATACACTAATTGTATGACGTATTATTTGTAGAGGGTGTGTCAATAAGAGCGGGTAACATGTTGCAGTCAGTAATACATTTATATGAGAAGTCATTACAGCTGAAGAGAAAGTAGTGACAAAGTTATTGGAGTTCAAACTGTCATTAGTTGCAAAGCGTGCAATAAAGAAAAGACGGTCCGGCTTCAACTGAATAATTCAACACAGATGCTGCTCGCTACAATCAAACTCCTCTTACATTACAGCGAAGACGTTTACTCACGTGTGACAAGACAGAAACTGACATATCACAGGCAATCAACCCTGATAAACCCCCGTGTAATAAATTATTCTTCAGAGAAATCGTGAAGGGTTTTCAACGTATATACATTGTCCAATTATTGTTTGAAACATGAACATGACGTTGATATAGCCTGATGTGTTTGCACGAGCGTTTGTTTACATGAGAATGCTAGCAACGTTTTAGCCAACGTAATGCTTTTAAGGAATTAATGAGTGTCATTTTGAGCCCAAAATATGTTTCTTTTATAGTATTCATTGTGTGGTTTTACTTTATTTATTCAAGATAGTATGTTATTTTTCTTGCACCAATTCGCAGGTCAAACGATAATTTTTCTTTTAAAGTGTGTACTTGCTAAATGAATTTATGACAATATGTATCGATTATCCTTTAGTCATGTTTTTAAATATTATAAACAAGGGACTTTAAATAAAATACATCTTCATTCGTCATAATTAAGGTGGAAAGCATTAAGAAAAAATGCAATTGTGACCAAAAACACGTAAAAATAAGAAACATATAATATTGTCCACACCTCACATCCTGTACCTTTTTAAACAGCATCCATAGATGTCCATGCAGAGCTCCAGAGTAAAGCTTTCCTCTCCGGCACCGAGAGCTGTAATATGAGTGTCGGGCCATGTCAGCAACCAGACCCAACAGGTGTCCTGTGATGCCGTGTTGCATTGTGTGGAGCTCTGGAAGGCAATGACAGAGAAAAACAAGCCTAAGTAACTAATAGTCGGGAATTCAAGCATGCACTATAGCCAAAATGTTATAAAGGTATTCATAAGGGTTGAATTTCAAGCCAAAATTGAAGGAAGTGTGTGCATTAAATAACCTTTAGCCTGTTTTTCATGTTTGAACTTTGTAGCAAATACATGCGTTAAAGTCAATGTTTCTCCTAATCATTGTCATTTGTGGCTAAGATAGTGAAGTAATAGCTATAGTTTTAAAGTGTCGAAAAATAAGAGTCTTCAGGGAAAAGGCATATAAGATGAAAATATGACTGTCTATTAATTATATAAATTACTTGTGAGCTTTAAAAAGGAATAGGAGGTTAAAGTAAGCATAGAACGTGTTAGGAATATGAATTAAGAAAACCCTTAACACAGGTGAAAGAAGTACTCTTCTTATTATTCACTTAAGTAGCCTACAAGTAGCAATACCAAAGACAAAAAATACTGTTACAAGTAAAAGTATTGCATTTAAAATTGTACTCAAGTAGAAGTAAAAAAGTAGCATAGTACCAAAAGTACTCATTATGCAGAATGGCACATTTAAGATTTAACGTTTTAAATAATCACTCAAGGAAAGTACAAGTACCTTCATTTTTTACTTGAGTAAGTGTAGTTAGTTAAATTCCACCACTGCCCTTTAATATTTAGACAAACTTTACATTTATATCGAAATGGAGTTACAGTAGATACTCCCCCTCCTCCTGCAGAAGGTAAACCCAGCCAGCCCCTCAAACGTTAGCTTGGAATTTAGCTACATCGATGCTAAGGAAGTATCATTGTTTACAGAGCACCAAAGGGGATGCTAGTGTCCATAGCGCTAACAAAATAAGCTATGTTATCGTGAGATAAAACACTTACAGACAGCTATGGGTGACCAAGACTAAAAGGTGAAGGAAGAAGGTGAGTAAAGGACTTTAAGAGGTGAAGAAAGTGGGAATATCTATGCTAACGTTAGGTACTGATTTAGGTTAGCATGCTAACGTCAACTTGTCCATGTGGGTATTTTTAGGAGTGGTACATCATTTTTTTTAAAGTCGTGTTTACACAAGCAGAGACACTGAATAGTAACACAACTTTTTGGTGAGTTTGCTACCTGTTCGTGTTGACTTTGCACCATTAACACCTGTTGTATTGTCTCTCTGAAGCCCCCATGTGAGATGGATTTCCTCACCCTGTTCGCTGTCTACGTCACGGTGGTGCTGACATGTATAGTGTTAGTTTGCAAATACTCAGGCCAGCAGCAAACTCCATTTAGTATCCTCTTCAACTTTGTAGGAAAGGTAAGAGAAGATGCAGGTTGACTGTATTCCCATAAACTGACACTGTGTGGCACTGTTTGACTAATTTATAACAATATTAAAACATGATATTCACTGCAATTAAAGCTGACAAATATTCTCTGCACAGGTGTTTGCACCGATTACACCAAGATGGCTCCAGAAGTTTTCACAGAGGACCTTACACAGGCTGTTTCATCAAAGGTTTGTAGTTCAATTCCTTCATTTTTTTAAATAGATATCTTTTTTATTTAACTTTATATCACTTTTTGTATTTCCCTGTACAATACTACACACAATGTGTCTATGAAAAGTATAGATACATTTTATTTTCTCAATGTTTATCCAGTTTGGATCATCTCTGAATAAATCAGAAGGTGTTTATTGTATATATAGCTTTTATTTTTTGTGATTTTCCTTTTTTATTATGTAGTTTCATTTGTATTAAACACTAATTTTCCTTTCATCCTTTGACTCTTGAGCTGCTCTGTGTAGAATAGTTCATGCCCCCAATGTGGAATGAATAAAGGCTTTTTATTTAATCCTATATACCTCTGTAATATCATAGACAACAGTGTATATTAAATATTTAGTTCCAGTTATACTCCTGCATATCTGCCTTCAATCTTTGTCATTTGCTTCTATTTGCAGGAACAACATGTTCATCTACCTGCACATCCTGATAGAGGCCGCTGTGCTTGCAGAGTTCACCTACGAGGTGTTTGGCTTCTGCAGGGATATGGATACCAGTCTGATCAGCCTGTCCGTGCCTTATATACTGCTGGTTATCAAGAGTCTCTGCTTCTACCTCTGCATCAGGAGAGATCCAGGTTCATATTATACTAGCTTTCAAAGTCATTTGTTATCTGCTGCAATATTAGGAAATATTATATGAGACAGCCGAGGGAGGTTAACCCTGGTGTGTTGAGGTGTGATATATTAAGAACTCATATAAGCAACTATACGTTTGTGGTCTACATAGCATCAATCATTGTGCACTAAAACAGGCCTCATGTGAGTCCAAGTCTTGGGAATAACGGATCCGGCTAATGTGCCCTTTCCACTCTGGTGTCTGTTTTGTTCTTGGCACCAACCTAAAGCATCTGTCTTTTCATATGAGAAATGTTGTGTTGTTTGCATGTGTACTCCTGTTACATTTGCTGCTCAATTCCCTACAACGATCATTTAGTCTAAAAAAAAGCAATATTATTCCATATTACTACTGGTTATACAGCCATGTGGATTGAGGGTGTGCAGGACATTAATTATTAATTGGTAATTATTATTTGATATGACTCCAGTTAATTCAAAGTAGATACTTTCAGCCGTTTTGCAATAATGTGCAGAGATATCAATTTGTTCGTTTTGGAGAGATTTTTTGCCTTTTATTTGGCAGTTATATTTTTTCTCTCCTCTCAACCTTGGCAGGAACAGTGACGAAGAAGAAAATCGCCGGCCAGCTGCACATCTATCCGTATGACAGGAGGCTGTTTCACCCGGGCGTCTCCTGTGAAACCTGCGAGCTCGTCAAACCGGCTCGCTCCAAACACTGCAGTGAGAACAGAAATATGAACAGGCAGCATAGTTAACATTGTAATGCATTATATTTGCAAAGCTTAGAATACAGAATCATACCCACTGTCTGCGTTTCAGGGGTCTGCGACAGGTGTGTTCAACGCTTTGACCACCACTGCGTCTGGGTGAACAACTGCATCGGTGCTCAGAACACACGCTACTTCCTGCTTTACCTCTTCAGCGTGTGCGCCGCGGCGGGCGATGTGGCCGTTCTAACAGGAGACATGCTGCTTCACGCCGTCCTGAGGTCAGGGCTCCTGAGGTCCAGTTATATAGACGAGGAAGGCCAGCAGCAGTCAGCAGGGCCTCTGTTTGTTGTGCAGGTGAGACTCCATACTGCTGACATAGTGCATGTCGCGGCTACCTTCCTTTAAGCTCAAGACACGTAATACCTTTTGTCAGGGAATAATTTCGCGCCCTACATGTTTACCTTTCGCCCTCTGACGCAGCTGACCAACCTTGAGCAGCCGTTATCTCCCATAAGGAGGGGCTGCCCTAGCAAGTTGTTGTTGTTACCAGTTTATGACCGGGCAACTGTCTGTCAGAGATAGTTATTGTTGTGGGACACCTGGAACACATCCTTCTCGGGGTGTAGATGACCCCGAGCCATAAGCGACAAAAAATGGGATTCAGTGTCCTCAGCTGTTTAGTCTATCTGTTGAAGAATGTTGATTATTACACTCTGAACTAGTTCAAACCTGGAGCTACAGGAGGGTCCTTCAGAGTTGATTATGGCATCTCAACCGTGTGGTCAGGGCCCGTGACATGTCGTGTGAATTCTCCGGCCGAAGCTCCAAATAAACCGCCAGTGTTTGCCATCAAAGCTCCAGCTCTCCATCGTGTCTCTCTGAGTCCTGACTCCCATTGCTTCAGAAGTTTCCCCCACACCTGTCAGAATCAGAATACCTTTATTAGTCCCACAGAAGCGAAATGTACATTGTTACAGCAGAAAAGAGCCAAAGACAGCTTAATGTTACCTAAACTAAAGCATACATACAAAAGTATTAAAGATTTTTTTTTTAAGAAATTATAATCAAAAAAGTTACACATTTTACAAAATACACATCTCTCTTTCTGCAGCATCTGTTCCTGACCTTCCCCCGAATCGTCTTCATGTTGGGATTTCTGGTCTTTGTCTTCTTCCTCCTCGCGGGTTATGCTCTTTTCCATTCCTACCTGGCTCTCGTGAACCAGACCTCCAACGAGTGGTACAAAAGTCGAGGTTACGTGTGTCAGCACTGCCACCCGACTGCAACCGCTGACCATCTCTGCAGCCCGGCACCAGACCACTCTAAAAGAAACTACTACAGCAGAGGAATACTCCGAAACCTGGGAGAGATCTTCTTCCCTCCACGTCCAGTTCACAAAAAAGACAACTAAAAGAAATTACTAGTCTGTGTTGTTATGCTGAATTTTTTTGTACACCCCCTGGGGTCACTGTGCCTAAGAACTACTGCTGACTGAAAGAATAAAGTTTGCGGTAGCAATTTATTTACGAGCTCTGGTGTCTACCTCCCACACAATGTATTGTATTAATAAGCTCTGGCAACATTTACAGCAAACACAAAAGTAATTAGATGTTTTGACTCCCAATTTAGAACATATTTGTTCATTCTTGTTCTGCCATTGAGTAAAGGCATTAGCTTGACCGGAAGTGCAGTTGTTTGGGTGTTGTTTTGTACCTGGCTTCTTTTTGTAATGCTTTGTAGCCTATAATCAAAGCTTAGAATACGACGTGATTATGCTATAATGTATTAAAGATTTGTTCCTGTTTATTTTAAAGAAAAACATATGCATGTTGTAAACCGTAAATGAGCTTAACCGGAAGGGAACTGTATTTGTTCCTTTCCCTTTAAGCCGGTGCGGAAGTAACCTCAGAATTGCTTCAACACTTTTACACCGAAGTGGAAGGTCAGGATTTTGTCAGCGACGAATCTCAACAAACTTATTTAAACAACAAAACTACCATTAACACAAAACTGGACGTAACTACAAGTGCTGACATTAGCGACAACCCGTGACGTTGCACGGTAGGGAACACGAAGTGTTGTAACGGCTATATAACGGTTAAACAGTTATTGTATTTGTTTTAACCTGACAACACGTAACGGCTATTTAACGGTCAGACAGTTATTCATATCAGAACCTGAAATCACGTCTCTTGTTGTGTACCCTATGTCTGGGTCAAAATGTACCCGGTTAACCGGAGCTCTGGTGAAGCCGGTGCTGGACTCGGTGGACAGTGTCCTGTTTGACTGCGACGGGGTCATCTGGCGGGGGGACCAGGCCATCCCGGGAGCCTCTCAGGTCATAAACCTGCTTAAGGAAAGCGGCAAGAAGGTGTTCTTCGTCACCAACAACAGCACCAAGACCAGGAAGATGTACGTGGAGAAAATGACCACAATGGGGTTTAATGCGACCGAAGAGGAGGTGTTCGGGACGGCGTACTGTTCAGCTATGTACCTGAAGAATGAGTGCAAACTGGAGGGTAAAAAGGTGTACCTGATCGGAAGTAACGCGATGAGAGACGAGCTGCAGGCGGTGGGGATTCAGCAGACCGGGGTGGGAGAGGACCATATATCTGGGAAGCAGATGGACTGGGCCAACGTGGACCTGAACCCCGAGGTGAAGGCGGTGGTGGTCGGGTTCGATGAGCACTTCAGCTACACGAAGCTGAACAGAGCCCTGCAGTACCTGATCCAGCAGCCTGGGTGTCTGTTTGTGGGGACCAACAGGGACACCAGGCTGCCCCTGGAGGGAGGCAAGGCCGTGCCAGGTAGGGACTACACACACACACACACACACACACACACACACACACACACACACACACACACACACACACACACACCACACACACCACACACACCACACCACACACATATACATATATATTACAGTGGGATAAAGCAGGTTAAATCACTGCAGGCTACCTGAGGCTATAACAACAACAAAAAGCATGCACTAAATTGTGCATAACATGCTCAATACAAAGTCAGACTTTAACTGTATAANCAGGTAGCCTGCAGTGATTTAACCTGCTTTATCCCACTGTAATATATATGTATATGTGTGTGTGTGTGTGTGTGTGTGTGTGTGTGTGTGTGTGTGTGCAGTCCNGCATTCATCATATCCTACTTAAGACTTCCATATAGCCAAGTTTATTGTCTTCAAAAACACATCTGAATGCATTGATTTATACTCATCTAAGCCGCCGGTTACCGGCGGCTTAGATGAGTATAAATCAATGCATTCAGATGTGTTTTTGAAGACAATAAACTTGGCTATATGGAAGTCTTAAGTAGGATATGATGAATGCGAGTGTTTTTGTATGTGTGTGTAAAAGCCTGCGCACACACACACCTCCATCTCTACATTGTGGCTCTGAGTCTTCTGCAAGATGTCCTCGGCCTCTCGGAGACGTTTGTTCAGCTGAGGAGTATACTCAGTGGGAGCCAGCTCGCTGTCGTACGACTCCAGTATGGCCCGCATGCCATCACGCTCCTGAAACAAACACACACACACACACACACACACACACACACACACACACACACACACACACACACACACACACACACACACACACACACACACACACACACACACACACCACACCACACCACACACACCACACACACCACACACATATACATATATATTACAGTGGGATAAAGCAGGTTAAATCACTGCAGGCTACCTGAGGCTATAACAACAACAAAAAGCATGCACTAAATTGTGCATAACATGCTCAATACAAAGTCAGACTTTAACTGTATAACATGTGTCAGGTAATAAGTATTAGGTCTACTTCCTGGAAAGACATGTCTTAAACTCACGTGCATCTCACCTGTCTGGATTTCTAAGCTCCACCCATCCAAAATGCTATGAGGGATCATTATAATTGAAAGCGAGGGGGAGTGTGTGGGAGAGAAACTCTTACATGCACTAAACCCATATAGGGGAACATCCCAAAGTGCATAGTAGGGCCCCTTTTCATCTAACTTGCTAGATTGAGTTAAAGTGTCCTCACTACTCCTCTTCCTCTCAGGTACCGGCTGCCTCCTGCAGGCCGTGGAGACCGCCGCCCAGCGCCAGGCCCAGACGGTGGGCAAGCCCAACCGCTACATGTTCGACTGCGTGGCCTCCCAGTTCGGAGTGGACCCCGGCCGCTGCCTGATGGTGGGCGACCGCCTCGACACGGACATCATGCTGGGCTCCAACTGCGGCCTGAAGACCCTCCTCACACTCACGGGGGTCAGCACGGTGGCGGACGCCGAGGCCCATCAGAAGAGCGGCTGTGCGGAGAGACAAGGGATGGTGCCGGATTATTACGTGGAGAGCATCGCTGACCTGCTGCCCGCTCTGCAGGGATGAACCTGGACTGAAAGACTCCATTACTCACCAGAAGGGAATCTTTTTCCTTAAGATATATATGATACAAAGTTTATTAAGATATACATCATTTATCTATTTTGGAAATGCCTGCCAATTTAACATGGTATTAATGATTGCTTATAACATAAGAACAAAAAGTCACAGTGTTGTGTATATCTTCCGTTCCTGGGGAAAAGGGGAAGAGAGAGTGAACTTTAAAGACTGGCTGTGATGCAAGATCCTCTTTAGCAACTACAAGTCAAACTCGAGGAGGATGAACACATACTAGAATGTGTTGTAACATGTTTTGTTCAGGTTTACAGCTGTTTTAACGTATATAAATAACAAGCACCGAGTCTACGTGTCTGACTTGAACTCTCTGTGTATTATAACCTTTATTTTCACACCTCAGCAGAAGCAGATATATTAATGGGAGTGAGTCACAGTGGTTCATTCATGTTTTAAAGTGAACCCGGTAGGGATGTCCCGATCACCTTTTTTTGCTCCCGATCCGATTCCGATCATTTGATTTTGACAATTTGCCGATACCGATTCTTCCCGATCCGATCTTTATGCATTAAGAGAAAAAAAAGCATTCAAGTTGTCCCTTAAGGTTATTTTTTTATTTAAACTGGATATTCTATCCTACATGGATATAGCTTCTTTCTTTCACAGCAGCAGCATTGGATCGAATCAAAATAAAGCTTATCAGTACTCTTTAGCTTACTGCTACAATTAGACACTGCGCCCTGCCCACTCTGTTGCCAGATTTGAGAGAAATAAGCAACCAGGTCTATGAAAACAAGCCCCAAAGAAGCAACACATACATGATGTTGTGTAATTTGAAACCAAAACTAAGGCCTCAGGATGACTTTAAGACTTGAGCATGGTCATATTTGTTTTGTAACATTAAATACAAAATTTAAAAAAAAGTATTTATAAAAAATAAATAAAAAAATCCCGATCCCCGATTTTTTTTCTCCCGATTCCGATCTTTTGAAAATCACGTGATCGGCTCCGATCCCCGATCACGTGATCGGATCGGGACATCTCTAGAACCCGGTCTTCATTTTGACTTCTCGTGCTCTCTAACTTGTCCCTGAATAGCGCTCAAATCCCTAATAAAGCTGAAATTATATTGACTAAATAAACGTCTGCTCGCTGTGCTCGCTTTTCACCTCAAAGTGAACACAGAAAAACCTCCCGTGCTTAGAGTCACCTTGGCCTGTCGTCGTCTGGATGCAGCAGCGATATCGCGTCTCACCTGATGAGAGAGGATTTCAACCTGCACCTGCCTCACCCCTTTGTCCATTGTCTGAGCCGGGGAGGGCGGCCAACTCCTCTCCTGTAAGTGTGTGTTTGAGTCGGGGGGACAGGATAATGTTAGAGAGGCATATTAAGTCATATTAGATATAAAAAGGGAGGAAATAGCAGGAAGACAAGACTCCAAATGTGAGTTTGGCAGGTTCAGAGTTTTGTGTGAAGTGGGATTTGGGAGTGTGACTGAAGGGGGAGGAAGAAGGGGGAGGTCTGCAGGGACAAAGAGAAGCTGCCCAGGTGTACTGAGTCTCAGTCATGACCACAGCTGCATGCCGGTAGCTGAGAGAAGGGAGCTGACCCAGTGAGTGAGCCGTCAAGGGACTCAGGATGTTGAGGTGTTGGAAACATTCGGAAAACCGTTTGGAAGATGCAGAGTGCACGGTAAGGAATATACTTTCATTTCAAAAGCAACCGCTGCCGCCGACTGTGGAAAGATGGTGATGGCGAGACATGTTTGGATTTTGCGTACCTACACATTTAAGTAATTTTGCCACAGGTAAAAGATACATGACAGGATGAGACATAGCTTTACAGACAGTTCATTTAGTTCTCCTACCTGCTGTTGTGCCATGTATACATTTATATATCTAGACTATTTTGTGAGAGTACGTTAAGTGTGATGTCTGCTTTCTCTCAAATATAATGCAGGTGACACTGTTGTGCAGAAAAACTCAAAAGAAATATTCCAGAAACCACGTTAACTCAAAGAATACCTTCGAGTGTCGTTCTGTCTCTTTGGTATGTGTTGTGCAGTGAAAATCGAAATAAGTCCAATATGTTTTTAGGATCTTCTTGAAAATCCTCCTGGTCATGATTTTTCGAAAGATTTCTTCTAACACCTTAAGCATCGAAAGCCAAGTGCCATCAAGAGCTATTATACTGGAGAGAAGGAAGACATGTACAGCCTGTATTTCCAACTAAGCAACAAAACAATGTAGTTTGACGAATAACATTTTAGATAAGAGATTTGAGTGAACTGTCCCTTTAATACAAATCTCAACAGCAGCAGTGTTCCCACCCTGCTGCAGTTTGTTTACATCCAATAATGAGATTTGAAGTACTGTGTAAATAGCTTCTCCTCGTGTATGTAAACCAGGATGGGGGCTCTGCTGCGTCCCCTCAGTCCCACTTCCCACACAAGGCCTTCTGGGTAAGCCTCTCAGCGTCCCTGCTCCTGGTCATCATCGCCCTCGCTCTGACGGGGCACCTGGGGCTGTCGCAGCCTCCTGCAGAGGTAACATGACGATCAATACACCCTCCGGCATCTTTTCTAGACCTTATTGTCTTTCATTAATCAGTTTGTGTAAGTCTTTACAGTTGGTCCGGATCACAGCTCCGGATCAGACCGGACTTCTGATCAACCAATCGGCCGTCGTTGACTTGCAAAATGACCTGGTGACCTTTTCCATCACCTCACCTGCAAATCAGACGTCCACTGTGCTCTTTGATATCAAACACGTAGGGGATGTGCATGAGATTGTGTTGGTTTGAATGGTAGTTTTTAATAGAAAGCGCGCCTGAGTTTTCTGACTAATAGGATGATGTCTTGCCATTGTGTTTCAGGGTTTGATATGTTACAAACCCATGGACCAGGAGAGCTGCTTCCTGCGAAAGATGGAGGACTCTGACTATAAAAACGTGCACTCCCTCCTCCAGGAGTCTACACACAAGGTATTTCTACATGTGAGAGCTGAACGCTGATTTGAAACAATAGGGTTTGTCCTTCAGTGCCTTCAGGACACATGAAACCACACAACTTGGGATGAAAAATGCACCTGGGCAAACGAAGAAAAGGAAGTGTTGCCCTTTTAGACCTGCCGTCTGTGAGGTCGCCGCCTCACTAATGTGTGAACTGGCCTTTCTGTCAGTGACTCACAGTTTTATCTGAGCCAGGACCTGCTGGGTTTCATAGCTCCGTGCCGCTCTGAAGCTTTAAGGTTGCATATGAACAGCCGTATAGTCTCCCTCTCTCACCTCCATGGCTGAATTCCTCGGCACATCTGATCCCTGCAGGCACATCTGATCCCTGCAGGCCCCTAGGCTGCTCGGGATCTTCTTACAGGCGGCTCCAGCAGATAGCCTGAGCCGTGGAGAGGGCACAATGGCAGCTCTGTGTGAGGGCTTTTTAGCTTTTAAGACTCTTCTGTTGGATTCAAATACAGAGTGATGCATGGTTGGTGAGGGACCGGCCTGAGTGCGTCTGCTCTGTGGCAAATACCTGGTTCTCTAATAGGTGTTTGGCTCTGGATTAAAGGGAGCGATGCAGGAAAGTAGGGAAATATTTGTACTTATAGATGCCACCATGAAGCTCTACCAAAAGAGCACTTAAAATATATTTACAAAACGTAAATATCGGCTGCATATGAGGCCATTTCTTATTAAGTATGTGCTCATTTGCATACTTGATTTTGTTTAAACATTAAAGTCAATGTTAGATACTTATTAAAAACAACACATAAATCAGAAAATACAACAACAGCTTTAGAACAAATCTATTTTTGCCACGTTTTAAGGTTTAAAATGTAGACATACAAAGTACTCGTTTGAATTCAGTTTGTATGGCTAGAAATGGAAGTGAGCGTTTGTTGTAATGTAAGTGTTACTGAAGTGGAGATTTCTGGAGAAAAAAAACAAATTGAGAAAGATTATTTCTTACATTCACACAATCATTGTTTGTGTTACAAATTTCATGAAATGTTATCTTTATGTAAATTATGCTTATTTTTATATTTGTTTAGGAGAAATCTACAATAGCAAATAGACAGTATAGTTAAATATCAACACCTTGAAATGTGTTTGAGGTTTTCTTTCCACAAGTCAAAAACGATTTGACCTTGCAGGTAATCCAAGATGACCGAGTTCATCCTCTTTTTGCACAATAGCATCATTTCCATCTTTAGTTGAGTCTCAGAGCGTCTTTTCTGATCCCCTCTCATGGTGTCACGTATCTCATACAGCTCCTCACTGCTGTCATTCAATCTATGATGGGAGGGGGCTCTTATGGATGGAGAGTAAACGCTCTCTGTCTCTATTAGCACAAAGGTCTTCTTCAGCAGAGGAGAGCTGGTGGTTACGTGACCCACTCGAGCATAAGAGCGGATTAAGTGGTTCGCTATCAGAGCTTATCACACACTGCCTTTGTGACTAATAAGAGCGCAAATGTTCGTGTTGACCTCATCAGCGCAGATATCAGGGTAATAGCAACTCCAGTTTCAATCTTGTTTTTTCTTCTTCGCTTATTTATTAATTCTTACTTTGTCACTGTGAGCTGAATATGATTTCTCCCCCTTATTAAATGACCCTGCAGCTCCAGACAGAAACTCTTGGGTCTTCTGTTGAGATGTTGTGATTTCTCCTCAGCAGGGTCAGATCCAGCTGTCCAGGAATGAGACCCAGAGGCAGAGGGAGTTCCTGGGGGTGTTGGCAGGCAGTCCGGTGGACGTGTCCACGCTGGAGGAGCCTCTGCAGACTCTGTGTCAGCACAGCTCCGTCCACTGGACCAGGAGGGTCGACGGTGAGGACGGCAACACGTTATCTAGAGACGATTGCTTTGACATAAAACTCAAATGGTTAAATAAAAAAGTGTAAACACTCTTGAATCACCAGCCTGGTTATAAAGTATCTGGGAGCCACACCATAGCACTGGGTGGCCTTTGGTGGCATGAACATTGACACTAAACATTAACATGCTTATTGTAGTGTAAGTGCACTGTCTTGCGGCCTGTAGCACCATCCTTGATGGAGCATAATGTGGGCTGGACCTGTATTATACAGGAAAGGAGTGAGCAGAGGGTAGAGTTGTCGATTCTTGTTCAGCTTTCTGTGACTGTCTGCCTCACCCTCTCAGACTTTCAGTCGCGCACGCTACTAAAGAGACGCGCTACCATGGAAACCAAACAATGGTGTAGCTGTATTAAAGTCCGAGTGGAAACAGTCCTGAGTAAATCTGATTTTGTCAGAAATCGGGAGAAATGCGGGAGAAATATGACCCCGGGAGGAAACCGGGAGAGGGCAATGAAATCGGGAGTCTCCCGAGAAAATCGGGAGGGTTGGCAAGTATGCAGCACCTCTTTTCACCCTCTGTCTGAAACCAGAGCACAGTCTGCTCTGATTGGTTAGCTGGCCGGCTCTGTTGTGATTGCTCAACCGCTTAGAGATGTCCCGCCCCTTAGCCTATCACTTACAATTTGTTGGAGCACTAGCCAATAGAAGCGTGAGTGTTACAGAGTGATGACACTATGTTACAGAAGTAACCAAATGAGTCGGAGGGAGGGAGAGAAGCCCCCTCTGGAACACAGGGATTTTAGCCTTTGCAGACCATTTACATGCACAAAAACCTATTTAACACACTACAGAAAAGGGACAACTCCAACAATAAGGCCCCTTTAAAGTAAGGCTCAAAAGTTAAACATCACTAAAAAGGAATGGTCATATCAGCAGAGGTTCTGGATGTGTTTGTCAGAACCACAGAAGCAGCATGAAGGGAGCTTTCAAAAAGCGCCAGCTGGCAGCTCCATAGAGACCTCCTGAAACCTAATCTGAGACATCCAGTGACCTTTCCACTGTGGCAGTCAGTGATAGGCTGACAAATCTTCACTCAACCAACATATGTTCTGCTAACAGAAGTACAACTATTATTCAGGCTGCTTTTAAACAATATGTGGTCTCTACATTTAAAAAAAAAAAAAAATGCTTTTAATCTATTTGTATTGTATTATTATTATTATTATTGGTATAATTATCTGATGTAGATATTGTTTAATTTTTTTGTTGTTGTTATGGCTAAAAAAACGGAGAATACATGGTGCTTTACCCAGATGAAAAAACCCTTTTTTTATTCATGCCTTTAAGTTGTGACAGATCATTAGTCAATGCATGTGTTTTCTGAATTACAATTTGGGTCATTTTTGCAGTTTAAGAGGTTAATAATCTTCATTTAGGAATTTTTAGGGCTGGCTTTTGGATCCTTTACACCGGGGGCCAAATCAGGCCCTTGGTGGATTTAATTTCGGCCCGCAGGATAATTTTCAATTACTATTAGATCTGGCCCGCCGGTATATTGCACGCACACCTTCACTCAATCCTGAGGGTCTCCTCAGCTCAGAGCCTGACCCCAAACATTGATGACCTTGCACCCGAGATGAGATGCCAAGTATCTGAGCTAGCATCACAGAGCAGCACACTGAGTTTAATGGATGTTTCCTTCTGCACTTTCTCTCTCTCGACAACAGGGCATGTTTGGTTTGTTCTTTGAGGGAAAGTTTTGTTGAAGCTGTTGTTGGCCTGTGGGAAAATGTAATCATAAGAAATGAAGCTGCAGATAGAGCCATAAGAAATGAATCAACTGATTATTTAATGTTTAATGTTGTTTTTATAGGCAATAATTGAAGCTTTGTTAGTTCCAGGTTTAAAATGTGCAATAAGTTCATTTCAATAAGTTCTGCAATAAACATTGAACCAGTCCGGACCTTGACTAGCACCCATTTTTTTTATTTTGGCCCACTGTGTATTTGAGTTTGACCCCCCTGCTTTACATGTTCTAATATTCAACAGTAATGCTACGTCCTTAATGATGACCCGTATCTTCTGTAGTCACCAATGTCTCTGTCTGGTTTTAGGCCCGGGGAATCAGAGGCTGGTCTACTTCTGCATCGACATCTGCTTCCCCAGCAACATCTGCGTGTCTGTGTGCTTCTACTACCTGCCAGAGTGAAGGTCAGGGAAACAAAGTTGTCTTTTTAGCTCNGAAGGTGGTCTCGTTGTGAGGTTACCGACTATCGAGGTCATGGCGTGCTTCGTACAAAAGCTACCTGCTCTCACTTTTAGCCTTGCGTGTGCGATAAACAACAAACAAATAATAGGCACAGGACAAGAAGAAGAGACAGACAGGCCAACAACGAGAAAACTTATGCTTATGTGTGATCGACGGACGACATTACGAACAATAAACGGTGAGTGCGATACGCGAAGCATGCACAGCCGACTTTCAGAAACCGACACAAGGTCACGCTGTGTACCGTTCTGCGTCCTCTTGTGCGGTTGCGTTGTCAGCCGCAGTCGCTCAAGAGGCCACCTGACGAACCACACAGTCCGAAATACCCGAGCCCCAGTAGATGTGGGGCGCTCCTGACCAAGTCCACAGGGGTGTTGGTTATTGATAGAGAGTGGCTGTCAACGAGCCAGTGTTGCCATTGTTGTTGTTGAACCGAATCCCGTCGGGGAGGATGCGCCTCTATCGCCGACCAGTGCTCCCGCTTCCTCTGTACGTCCGTTTACTAAGGGGGTTGTTGGTACAGCAAAGAAATACAAAAAATAAGACCGGAAAGAAGTTTTTCTTGAACGTGTAGTGGTCATACTGCAAGTCAAAATTAAACTTAGAAGACTTACCGCCAACTCCTGTTCATTGATATTGAAGGCGGACCATATGTAGGATGCGAACAGGACTCTCGGAGTTACTCACACCACTGTCTAAGGGGCAGTGAGATCTCGTATGCTGAATCGTCCATTACGTGTCGAATGCACAAAATAAGTAAGTGGGATTTGTTGGTTCATTACACCTCACCTGAGGATTAACATATACAAGGAAGACGGAGGTCGAGACAGGCCGAGGAGGAGTATTTTTTGACCGTCTGCTACCTGAACAGACTGTGGTACTTGAACTTCTTCATGATGTAAGTTGTAAAGCAGGCTAGTAGGGACAGGTGTCCGACGCTGGCGTACGCAGGCAGACGGTCTACTTCATGTAGAGACTGGTACCAGACATTGTCGATCTTTGTGGTCACAACTTTTTGGTCTTACCTTGAAGTGTCAACAAAGTGATGACACCACTGGTGGTATAAAACCAAACGGGAGTCGTCTTGAATTTTGTCGTAATTGAGGTCCTTAAAAATTGTTTCCTGTTGGGTCAAGCATATATGAGATTGTCTATTATGTTTGCCTCCCCCCCCCTCCCCCTCTTTGACATATAGACCTTTTTGACATATTAAAGGAAACCGCGACAAAGCTCAAACGAGATTAGACAGTTTTACTGTCTGACGAAAGTCTAAAAAGGCGTAACGAATTGTTTTTAGGCCAGCATGTGCCTTTTATAAGCCAATTCGCTGGGAACGAGACATATGAAGGTTTCTGGGGGTGGGTAAGTAAACAACAGGAGACACCTCGTGTAACCCAAAACCAGGTTAATGAACTCAATATGTACGTGTCGTAAGTCAGGTTAACATGAGGTGTCCCTGTAGGACCCCGAAAAGTTTGTACACTGTATACACACCCCACACGAACTTTTCTATTAAAGTAACATAAAAGTTTACCGCAGGTAGTTTGTGTTCGTGATAATATCTTTCTCAAAAACATTAAAACGTTTAATGGTCAAACACTCAAGTTATAAAATAAATAATATCAATTCCCTTGTGGAAGCCCAATCACACACTCTCAAGTCTCGTCTACATTAGTAACTAAACTGGATTCTGATTTACAAAAATACTTACAGGAGACTCCTCCCGTACCCTGAACGATTGAAAAAAAAGGGGGTAACAATGAGTTGTGTTTACCTCAGGTGATACCGGTTTGATTGTGCATCCAAAGAACATCCCTAAGATACCGTCTGCCTACGTGCCCCTTGTGTATCTAGTTCACGGAGTTCAAGTCTACATAGACGTAAAAGTCTTGTTCCTACCTCATGATGTGTACTCTCGAGTCATAAACAACGTAACTCAACAACACGAGATTACAACAAGAGAATTTAACATGAACATACAATTAAACAAACATAATGATACGAAGCGTATTTTGGTTGTGAGTTACAGGAGAATGTAATCCAGTGTTATTTGATTTTTATATATAAAAATCAAAAACAATCAGTAATACAAATTATGGTGGGATTTCTGAACACACCATGATTTTTTCTTTTTCCTTTAAACTTTGGAAAAAAAGAAAGACCCAAGTTCCTCCCTAATATAACATTAGATGTACAAGATATAACATCATGTTACTTGTACACGATTGACTGAAGATTGAAGAATTCAAATTATTTATAACGTAAACTAGAAAATAATAAAGTGAAATTGACATACAAATATATTTATAGAACTATAGTAAATTTAGAAAAATAACGGGTAAGGAATAAATTGCAGTTTATGTTTCATAAAATGTGATAAAAGAAAGATAAGTTCTTAAAGTGTATCTCTATTTATGTTTATAAAATCTAAATCTAAATATCCGAAGTTAGTAACACAAGGGAATTTACCATAATCGAATGCCTGACTTGTCTGTGAATACATGTACATAAACGGTGAAAGTTCTCAGTAGTCGATCCAGAAAAGCAAGTGTCCTTGTAGAACGATACACGTAGAAGTTGTTTCAACGTCACGAAAGGTTTAAGCTTAATCTGTTCGTCGTTTACACTACCGTACAGTAGAGAGCTTTGTGAATTTCACACACTTACTAAAGGGAAAGAAAGAGGAGTCCCTAGAGGTTTCCTGTCAGTAGAGGCAGTCCAATTATACCACAGAGGGTTCGCTCCCGGCTAGTAGCCACGAGTCCCTGCCGACGACGACCTCAAGTGACTCCGAGGCACACGCTCAGTCTGCCGGTCTTCGAGAGATGTGCTGTGCGTAGGTGGACAACGAGGTCTCCTTCGAGCCACTCCAATATGTCATTCACCTCGGCAGAAAAATAACACAAACACGTGCTCAAGACTGACAAACAAAAAGGTGCGACACGTCAGGTTACCCGGCGCCAAGGACTACATGGTACTTTGACGTGGCGGTTGAAGTAGACCCTGTGTCTCGTCGGACGCGGTACCGCGCTTTCCTGGTGACCTCCCCTTGCACTTCGAGTCGAAGCTACGTGCCCTGCAATAGAGTAGGACTCAAAGGGATTTGTAGAGTTAAGGTTCTTCCAAACTAACAGTATACGTGTTTCGCTGTCACATCTTTGCCGTTAGTGTAATAAGACTAGACTCAGGAGTTGTACGTTTAGATATTATTTTAACTTTTTATCAACGTTTTCAGATTATAAGTCAGTCATCTTATATACAACATGTTCTAGTCTTAATAGAACTTATAGTCCATACGACATGTACGACAAAGTCTTACGTGACGTAACGGTCATTTGTACACAAACACAAAGTCTCGACACGACACCCACTGGGTTTGTTGACCGATACTCAAAGTGGAAGTCGAAGCCGGTTACTCTTCCCTATGTGGTGTCTCGTTTACCTTTCCTAAGGACCATTCTCGATATAAGAATGATAAATATACAAATTATGAATAAATACTAATAATAAATGATAAGGGTCCAAAAATCCTCCTATTTTGAGCTCATTTGCATAGAGTACCAGAGTTGTCATAACAAAATATGGTCATCAGATTACAGACACTACTTAGTCGAATAGCGACTCTTGAACTATGCCCTGGAGTGAGCATTCATTCTAACCGTAGTAGATGTCTTTGAAGATATCATTTTACGGGGAGTTCTGTGGTAGGACATAAGATAATATATATCGTGAGCATCGCGCGTGACGTGTGGTCAGAAAAAATATAATGTTCATACATAATGAGATACATACGCATACAGGATAGTCCCAGTATTCAAAACTAGTATAGTTTTTTTTTTTATGAAAACCGTTTTGCTTCTCATGCACTGATTCGCTAGCTGAACAGCCAATCAGAGTGATTTCTTTGTCCGACTGCCTGTGGCCGACGCACTGCAGGTTCAACTTGTTGAATCGGCCGTGCGTCGGCCATGAAAGGCCAGATAAGGCGTGTCACGGCCGACGGTGCGGGACACACCAAATTGAGTTTGGGCGACAGGGCACGCTTCGTCGACTAACGAAAACGGCTGATTTCAGCCTGGTGTGTCCGGGCCTTAAGCAACAACAACTGTGATTCAGTGTCCTCAGCTGTTTAGTCTATCTATTGAAGAATGTTGATTATTACACTCTGAACTAAAACCTGGACCTACAGGAGGGTTCTTCAAAATTGATTGTGGCATCTCAACCTGTGGTCAACTCGTGGCCCGTGACATGTCTTGTGAATTCTCCGGCCGAAGCTCCAAATAAACCGTCAGTGTTTGCCATCAAAGCTCCAGCTCTCTTCGTGTCTCTCTGAGTCCTGACTCCTATTGCTTCAGAAGTTTCCCCCACAACGTGTATTGTAAAAAAAAGGGGAGAAAAAAGGGTGTATATAGACAAAATCCAGAGGCATATTATACCTGGAATTCTGGTTTTCCAGCTCCGGCTTCAGGGTCACACAGGAAGGAGATGAGAGTGGATCTGAGAGTGTGTCCTTTGTTGTTGTACTGGGAGCCGTTGCTGTAGGTGAGCTGGATCAGGCCGTCGTAGTAAGACAGACGAGAGTTCGCTTCCCCGAGACTCCAAGAACTGAAGCAACAGATGGGAAAATAGCAACATGAGAAAATAGATTAACTTGATTGAGCCCATACCCAGAAAATGTACACAAGCTTAAGAGTCAAGCAAGCAGAGGAAATAAGTGGAAATGTAAGAAATAATATAAAAACAAAGACAAACGTATCGATAACATACGAATAATAAGACCTAAATCATCAAAATGTGAATAATTCTCTGTAAATTATCTAAACGCAAACACTTATACGGTGAACCTAGTGTTGGCGGTATACATTTAAAAACAACTAAAGCTGCCAAAAAGGTATGTTTCTAATCTAAAACAATACAACTGTGGTGCTCTTACGAATGTTCAGTGGAAAAACAAGAAAGAAAACACCTGAGATAAACTACAATATGGTCTAGCACACATGTGTCAAACTCAAGGCCCGGGGGCCAAATCAGGCCCTTGGTGGATTTAATTTCGGCCCGCAAGATAATTTCTAATTCCTATTAGATCTGGCCCGCCGGCATTTTGCACCTTCACTCCATCCTGAGGGTCTCCTCAGCTCAGAGCCTGAGCCCAAACATTGAGGACCTTGCACCCTGCTTGAACTAGCATCACAGAGCAGCAAACTGAGTTTAATGGATGTTTCCTTCCTCTCTCACGAGAACAGGGCATGTTTGGTTTTCTCTTTTCTCTTTGAGGGGAAATAGTTTTGTTGAAGCTGTTGTTGGCCTGTGGGAAAATGTAATCATAAGAAATGACTCTGGAAAAGCTGCAGATAGAGCCATAAGAAATGAATGCAACTGATTATTTAATGTTTCATGTTGTTTTTATAGGCAATCATTTAAGCTTTGTTAGTTCCAGGTTTAATATGTGCAATAAGTTCATTTCAATAAGTTCTGCAATAAACATTGAACCAGTCCGGCCCTCGACTAGTGCCCATTTTTTTTATTTTGGCCCACTGTGTATTTGAGTTTGACCCCCCTGCTCTAGCAGGTAGTATTTCAAACTAGAAAACCCACTTTAGAATTTTGATTTAGTTTTTTAGCTATTCATCTATCTCTGTTGCATAAGCATGCCTTTTACATTGTGTTTCTTACATTAAAAAAAAAACAGACAATAATGCACAAATGATCTTTTTCTTAATCTGATTTGGTAACCTGTGGCAAGCAAATACTCCTGGTAGATAGATCTGTAATGACAGTTCAAATGTGTCATCATAACCCCATGTCTTTGGCTTGCTCTCACCTCTTTTCGGACTGGCACGCCCCAGCATTCTCCGGACAGCTGGCAGCTTTGACAGGACCGCACACGTTGATGTAGTAATCGTAGTGGTCGCTGGTCAGGTTGTAGAAACCACCGTCGGCTTTGGAGAGAGGAGACAAGTCGAAGGAAAACCCTGCGGAGCAACGAAGGACAGATAGAGAGGAAGATTAAAACAACTGGCATCAGAGAAAACTCAGATAATGGCTCTGTCAACAGCAGAGGAGAGGAAACACAAAGAAACCACTAGATGGCAGCACAGGTACGCTCTTTAAGGTTCACATATGATGATTCACTCTCATGTGACACAAAGTGACTCAGAGAGGTTAAAATGCCTGGAAGTCCCCACCAGGTGGAGATGAGGAAGTAGGACAAGCAGAGAAACTTCCTCATGTTTTTTCAAAATAAGTATCATATGAGCAAGCAGAACAGATTCCTTTATCTTTTTACCATTCCTTATCCACCACATAAGTAAATGTTATATCAATTGTCAAAATACTTTGAAAATGCTTTGTCCTGTTGAACCTCGGTTGCCAAAAAGGGTTAGATAAACCTGTAATAACACATTTGTTATAATTCAATATTTACTTTAATATCTTATGTACTTTCTGTTTCTCATACTTTAAATGGTTTTATTTTTTATATCTTAAAATAATTGTTGCCATTATTAGGATATTCCTTTCTTTTTTCTCTACTTAGGAATTCATTATTGTTTTGCTTTGGAGCTTTATGCAGACCCGGCGCCAGAACAAATCTACAGAGAGGGCATATGGTTTTCATGGGAGGGCGCACACAACCGTCATGTGCCGTGGCCAGTGGCGGCACATGACGGTTTTCTGTTGGGGGTGCTGTGGGGTAGCTTGACGTTTCATAGAGGCTGCTCAAACATTTTGGGTTTCCCATTAATGTCCCGGGCGCTACAGTGGAATGTTCTACAGCTTCTCAAAGTGTGGTCAACGAGCACCCCCTAGTGGTCGGTGAGTATATTGGTAACATTTCACATTTTAAATAAATACATTTAAGTTTTCCACACTCTCGCGGGAATATCTCCGCAATGGAGCGAGCTTAAGTTTCATCACACATGTTGCCACTTGTTTGTACCATTTTCTGGCGATTTGTAATCTGTTCTAGAAAAACGATGTGTTTTTGGATATTTGGGTTTTTTTATTGGTTAAGTGGTCCTTGGTATGAAAAGGTTTGAGAAACACTGTTCTACTGCAACACTCGCCACACGCACATACACCCGCGACTGTTACAATGCAGGGTCGATAATCAGCTCATGGCATATAGGTGTAAGCAGGGGTAAAGTGCTATTTTTTAAGTGGGGGGGGGGGGAGACCTAACCTCCTCTAGGGGGGTCCGGGGGCATGCTCAAACGCATCAATCCCCATTAACTTTGCTGCCTCTTTCTTGTCTTTCCCTCACTGCTGTGTTTTTCTAGCTCAAGTCAAACACTGATGAGTCAGACACCAGGAGGATTAAAGCTGTGTGTCGTACCGGCCTGAGGGTCCTCCACCCTGCAGTCGTCTCCCTGAACCTTGGAGAGGACGCAGGCGGCGGCGGTGTACCACTCCATCTCATACACACATCCATCAGAGGAAACGCTGCGGAGGACAGGAGCGCTCTCCAGATCTCCTGCACAGAGGAACAGGTTTGAGAAGAGAAACCAAATAGATAGAGAATAACAGAATACATTACAGCATTAGGCGCGTTCACACCAAGTACTTTTCCCACAAAGGTTCCTGAGAACTATGATTTAGTTGCGTTCACACAAAAAGTCCCAGGAACTAAATTAGTTTCAGAACCTTTTTTACCCCCTTTCCAGTCCCTGCTAGAGAGAAGGGACTTTCGTGGGAGAAAAAGGTTCCTGTGTCTGATTGGCTGGGCGGAATGCAAACCACGCCCCGTCAAACTCCCAAACACTTTTGTGAAGCCGCCATTTTATTATCCTCGCTTGGCATTATTAGCATTAGCATTAGCCCAGCGCAGAAACGCAGAGAGACTAACTTATGACAACACAAAATAAAACATGGGAGCGGTGGAGATGAGGAGGTGTCGGCGTTCTGGCCGTTTACTCGGAAGGCTTCAGTAGAAGCTGCTGGGAGTCCCAGCAGCTTCTACTGAAGCCAGTCCCCAACTCCGGGGACTTCTGGGCGGGGATTTTGGGCGGCAGTATACGCCGTGAAGTTGTTTGCGGCCTGCCAGTAAACCCAAAGCAGAAGAAGAAGAAGTGACGTCAGCGGCTTCATTTGCCTGATCCTCCCCCAGGGACTAATTTCCGGTGTGAACGCGATAGTTCAGTTTAGTTCCTGAGAACTAAAGAGTTCTCAGGAACCTTTGTGGGAAAAGTACTTGGTGTGAACGCGCCTATTATAAAGGTGGTAATGACTTTGTACCTGGTTTGCACTTGAGTGTCAGGATGGTTTGGATCTTCGTCTTTTTATCGCTGCAAACACTTCCTTCAGTGTAAACCAGTCTGATGTCATTTCCTACTTTAGTCTTCTGGGGAGAGGAGAGGAAGCTGCCCAGGCTGATGGCCCCTAGTTTCTTATCTGAAGCACAGGGAGACAATAAAAACATGTCAATAAATGGCATCTATCACAAAGGTATGTATTGTTATACAAGGAACTGACAGGTTTAATACTTTAGATATTCGATGCTGCAGACACATTTAGATGAGTGTGCATCAGTTAGTGTTTAAAACCCAGCTCTATTCGATAAAAGGATGATATATCTTGCAAAAGTTACAAGGGGGATGTATACAAAAAGCTTCTATATATACACAAATTAAATAAATAGAGAAAGGAAATCTTGAGAAAGAGGAACAAGTGGAATTTTTTATTTCATTACAGCAGTATTAGGTCAGATTTAAATTTGTTTCTAGTCTAATTTGATCTGTTTTTTGTTCCACTTTATAATTGTTTTGTCTAATTTCTTCATTCATCCATTGAAAGTCTCAGTCCAACAGTTTTTAGTCTCATTCCAACAGTTTTTAATCCCAACATTTTTTAGTCTCATTCCAACAGTTTTTAATCCCAACATTTTTTAGTCTCAACAGTTTTTAGTCTCATTCCAACATTTTTTAGTCCCAACGGTTTTTAGTCTCATTCCAAAAGTTTTTAGTCTCAACAGTTTTTAGTCTCATTCCAACAGTTTTTAGTCCCAACAGTTTTTAGTCTCATTCCAACAGTTTTTAGTCCCAACAGTTTTTAGTCTCATTCCAACAGTTTTTAGTCCCAACAGTTTCTAGTCTCATTCCAAAACTTTTTTAGTCTCAACAGTTTTTAGTCTCATTCCAAAAGTTTTTAGTCCCAACAGTTTTTAGTCTCATTCCAACAGTTTTTAGTCCCAACAGTTTTTAGTCTCATTCCAACAGTTTTTAGTCCCAACAGTTTTTAGTCTCATTCCAAAAGTTTTTAGTCCCAACAGTTTCTAGTCTCATTCCAACAGTTTCTAGTCTCAACAGTTTTTAGTCTCATTCCAAAACTTTTTAGTCTCATTCCAAAAGTTTTTAGTCTCATTCCAAAACTTTTTAGTCTCAACAGTTTTTAGTCTCATTCCAAAACTTTTTAGTCCCAACAGTTTCTAGTCTCATTCCAACAGTTTTTAGTCTCAACAGTTTTTAGTCTCATTCCAACAGTTTTTAGTCTCAACAGTTTTTAGTCTCATTCCAAAACTTTTTAGTCCCAACAGTTTTTAGTCTCATTCCAACAGTTTTTAGTCTCAACAGTTTTTAGTCTCATTCCAACAGTTTTTAGTCTCATTCCAAAAGTTTTTAGTCTCATTCCAACAGTTTTTAGTCTCATTCCAACAGTTTTTAGTCTCAACAGTTTTTAGTCTCATTCCAACAGTTTTTAGTCTCATTCCAAAAGTTTTTAGTCTCAACAGTTTTTAGTCTCATTCCAACAGTTTTTAGTCTCATTCCAACAGTTTTTAGTCTCATTCCAACAGTTTTTAGTCCCAACAGTTTCTAGTCTCATTCCAACAGTTTCTAGTCTCAACAGTTTTTAGTCTCATTCCAA